AAAGTAGCCTGTGTTCTCCCTGCTTTTTCTTTTCCCAAGAAAGACACTTTCAGGCTCTTCGCTATTTGCAGACCACACATAAAAAAATCCTCTTTAGTACCATTATGTTGCTGAATCATTACAAGTAAGTTTTCACAGCAAAGAGCAATACATCTCGGATACTTTTTCCCTAGGAACCTTAGAGCACAAACAGATCTGAGACCCCTATAGAGAAGTCCCTGGAGATGTTTATCAACAGGGCCAAAGTGTTTGAGGGCCAGAATGGTGACCTTGGCCCAACAATTTTCCTTTAGTCTCATGATGTCACCGAGATAGCGAACAAAGGGACAGGGAAAGCAAAGCTGTCCCAGAGCACAGCCACCGTTAAAGGCAGAAGAGGCAAAGAGGAATTGGGACTGTGTAGGAGGAGCAGGTGAGGATGCTTTACAATAGTCCCCGGTTTCCCAGCCACTGAAATGATGGCTATGTCCCAGGATAGCTGCATCCTGCAGCCCGAAGACCAATGGTTTAATCTGATCCAATCTGCAACAGTCCTACCAGAATGGCTGGGGGCTGGTCAAGGGTCCCATGTGTCCTAGAGATCTGCTCACAGAGCAACCTGTAAAGCTCTGCCATCTCTTCCTGTGATCGGAAGGTTAGAGGATGACATTTTATCCTAAACTCTGCCTACAAGTGTTCAGGACGTCTGGGAGAGAGAAAAATACAACAGCCAAAAGGAGCTGCTTCTAAGGTTCTTTACTACAGGACGCCTCAGCTCTGTGTTAGCCCAGCCAGTCACAAACAAAACTTCTCTCTCCAAAATCAGGAGCACCTTATTACATGCTGACGGTGCTTCTGAATTGCATGGACGCTCCATAGCACCTGGAGCCCTACTGATATTCATCCAGCAGCAGCCTGTGCATCCACCCTCCGTCTGCTGGGGGGCTGCCACTGCTCTCACAGGGAGAGCTCACCTGAATCATCCCTGCTGTGAAGGGCAGTAACAGCTGAGCACAGTTTTGATCAGTGCTGCATGGCTCTATTCATGTTCTTTTTCAAATGAAACCTCCATGCCCAGTTGCACGTCAATTGCCCCATTACTTCAAGGTAAGCATGTGCAAAATCATATCGTGCACTTTCAGCTTATGGGCTAAATTTGTTCACTGCACTCCATAAGCAGTGTCAGTAATATAAAAAACTACCCATCTGACGAAAAAGGGGAATATTGGATCTAGCTGCCTGCCTTGCATGGTATTTGAAATACTCTCAAGCTTTCCTAGACCTTATCCCTGCAGCAGCTCTCTGAGCTGGGATGAAACACCAATTCCACATCAGATGGAGACCAGACCCTGTTACTTCAGTCTCAGCCAGCCCCATCACTTCAACTCGCAACTGTGCCCGGAATATACACTCACTTATCTGGTTATCCACTTAAATAGAAATGGAAAAATTGAAAAAAGAAAATGGAGCATGGAAAGAGCCACCACTGCACAGTTGCGGTGTGACGCTGAGCGCAGCAGAGGACAGACAGAGGGACGGGATGGGTTTTGCCATACCTTGTTGCAGTAGACACATTTATAGGGGCGCTCCCCGGAGTGAACCCTCATGTGTTTGTTCAGGCTGGAGGACTGAGAAAAGCTCTTCCCACACACGGAGCACTGGGGGGCGGGGAAAAAAAGGGATAAAGTTAAAAGGAAGCACACGACAGCACAGCTAAAAAGAAAAATTAGGTATGTGGATGATGTGTCCATGTGTTTTCCTACATATATTTATGTATATTTATGTATATACATGTATTTATCTATATACATATATTTATGTATTTATGTATATACAAACACAGTAGTAATTTAAGCAGTAACAATCTAAAATAGAGCCAGAATTTTAATCCGGTTTTAAGAAGAGATTTTTTTTTAGAAAGGGAAATAATGCAAAATTTCAAAGCTGTTTTGTGTGCATCATTAAAATGTTTCATTAAAAAGCCTCCTTCTTCAGAACATTAACAGAAAATATTGACTTTCAGTAATCACAACCCGAAAATTTCTGCAAAATCATCATTTTTTCTTCAAAATGAAAATGAAGCTCTAGTTGCAATTTTGAATTTTTGCTCAACAAATAAGATAAAACTTCCTAAAACAAAATATTTAAGGCTAGCTTTTAAAATAGTAACCATTTTTCAGGAATGACGAGTCAGTCACAGCACTTAGCCTGCAGCTTGACCTGTCAGAAGTGCCTCTCCTTAGGAGTGAAACAAGCAGCACTTCGTCTGCTGCCTTCGTGGCGCGGCGTGCGCTCTGTGGCCGGCAGCGCCAGGACAAAACCCAAATCAGAGGGGGCTGAAGTCATCTGAGAGACTTGCGCTGATTCAGTGCAATTTGTATGACCTCCAAAATAATTTTCCCCCTACAATAATTTGAAAGAAGTTATCTTTCGTAAGTTCAAAATAAGCTCAGCTATGACTGATCTTGAAAGAAGGTAATTTTTTTTTACTGACACATTTTCCAACTTTGCTTTTTGAGTTGATCTGCTCTCATACAAATGAAATATATTCACAACAAGCTTATCTTCCTGCTGTTCTTTTGTATTTCTTTCGTATGCATTCCAAAATAAATGCTCTAGGAAAGAAAGGAAAGAAAGAAAGAGGGGAAGAATTACATGATATTGAATACCTCATGGTTAAGAGAATTATATTTTTCATCTGTTACTAAATCAATGTGATATTCTGATATTGTAATATTACTGATTTAGTTATAAAAGCTTTTTCTGAAAAATTCATGTTATTCCAGGATGATCTACAAAAGCGGTATTTGGAGGATTTTCAGGACGGATTTAACTGTGCCATTTCAAGCACTGGCACTTGCCCTTCCCAAGCCTTTAGGAAAAGTCTGATTTTCCACCCCCAAGGCTCCTGGAGAAAACCAGTGCTACAGAGAGGTGTTTAGCTGAGAGGAGGCAAGTATCTCAGCAAGGGTTTGCTTCCATCAATTGAAAATCTGCTTCACGTTGAATGTAAAACTTTTAACTCCTGTTGTGTCCAACAGCCACAGATGTCTGTGGGTTCTCAGACCGAAAGGGGGGAGCGAGGGACATCGTCTCTCCTGATCCTGGACATGCAGAGCACCTTCATACACAATTTAGCCCCACGCTGTGTAAGAAAAGTAGCAAAACCCACATCCAAGCATTAAAAAAAAAAAAAAAACAAACAGGAGAAATATTGTTTCTTTTCAAAATCTCACTGAGGCTGTGGGGTTTATTTTGCCAATATAAACCCATTAAATTTCTTCAACTAAGCTCTGCTGCACAAGGCAAACTCTTCCTTTACAGGCAGAACGGTCCCACCAGGGAAACCGGAGGAGGGGGAACAACATCAGCATCTTACCTCGGCCAAAAGGGACTCCTTAAATCAGCCCCTCCAGAAGAGCCAGTAACCGCGGAGAGACCCCGGAGCGGGCTCACCTTGTGAGGTCTGTGCTTTTCGTGAACGTGGAGAATATGGATCCTCAGCCTGTCTCTTTTTTCAAAGGATCGGTTGCAAAGGTGACAAGGAAATTTGCGGTCCCCCTGGTCCACGCAGCGAGTGTACTTGAGGTGCTTGTCCCGGTAGTACTTGTAGGCAAAAACCTTGCCGCAGCGATCGCACTTAAAGCTCTCCCCGGCTTCTGTACGGCAGAAGGGACAGTGCCACCCCCCCGTTACACCACGGCAAAAGGGGCTCAGCTCAGGCCTGCTTCCTTCTCACAGCTGGTACCCAACTGGGAATTTTCAGTCTCCGGGAGGGTAATAATGGTAAATGGATTCTGGCAATATCAGTAACAAACGCACGTCGGGTCCCTTAAGCGTACCCACCGCCCCCTTGCCTTTCTAACGGAGGGGAACAAACTACAGCCCGCAGCCTGATCAAATTATTGGGTTTAGCTCCTGACTTCAGCGAAGACAGGATTTAATCCTTGCATCCCCATAAACAGCGAGCGAATATGTGAAAAACCAACGCAGAGTCCCACATAAACGCGGCTCCCCACAGGGGAACGTTGCCAGGTATTTTGTACCAATATCGCCCGTAAATTTTACCTCCCAACCCCAAAAAGAAAAATAAATCTGCACGGCTTTTATATCGTTTTCAAAATACTATCGAACAAAACCACGTTTATTTGGTTTTCTTTTGTATTTCAAACTGTTCTTAAACGCTGAATTTAGGAACACGGAAAATTTTTCAAGCATTTACACATCCTCTTCTGCCTTTAATAAAAGTAACTTTGGCTTAAGCCTTAAAACGAAATGAACAATTTACCAGCTATCTGAACCAGGCACCTTAACATAACAGCTACAAAAATTTCCATGCCAAAATTCCATGTCAAATTGCTTCTCTCCCTTACTCTGCACCCGGCCGACCCATCCCTCACCCGCTCCAGCTTTCCCTGCATTGGCACAAATCTGTTTTCTCCATACGTAAGTTTTGCTTCTCTGCACGTTACAGGCAGAACTACTCCCGGTGTAGGTGCATTTGGCATTTCTTCTGCAAACAGTATCAGCGTTATCGGGTGGGAACGATTTCAGCCTGTCCCATTGACTGAGAGTGTTAATTGCACGAAAAATCTCGTTAAGTCAGGAGTGTGCAATCGTGGGATAAAATCCCCCCAAAAGCCCCTCTCCGCCCAAAACAGGATCCCCCTCGACGAACGGCGCTGCGGAGCCGAGGCGAACTCAGCCCAGCACCGCCAGATGTTTTACGATGGCCAGATGAACGCTTTTACCTCCCCGAGGAACCGCGACCGAGGAGCGAGCTGCCGGGGCAGAGGGGGGTGCCTCCGGCTCCGGGCCGGCAGCAGCCCTGGGTGCAGTCCCCGGGCTGCCCGGTGCCGAGGGGACGCCGCTCTGTGGGGTGCCGGGGCTGGAAGGGGAGGGCGAGGACCGGCTCCCCGGGAGGGCGGGCAGAGCCGTGGCAGAGGGGCTGCGGGGCCACCGCCACCCCGCCGGCTCGCCACGGGGACCGGGAAGCCTTCAAAGTGAAATACACCCGGGAAAAGGTGATGCCCCCGTTCCTTTACCTCCCTTAACGCCAATCTAATCCCGGCCAGACACAGGTCCATGGGAGTAAGGGGCAGCGCTCCTCGAGGGGCCGCTGGCAGGCTCACCTTCGGGGTGCTGCGGGGGTCTCTTCCCCTCCGGCATGCCCTTCAGGCTGATGGGGATGCCCAGGAACTGCACGTAGCAGTCGCCGTACCACACCAGCAGCTCCTGCTTCGGTAAGATTTCCTTGCAGCTCTCGTAGAAGATTTGCCCCTGGCACTGGATAGCCGTCAAATTCTGCTCCTCGGGGAACCTGGCACAGTTCACCAGGGACATCCAGTTGCCAGAGGCGCCCCTCCCGTCTATGAAGTGGCTCAGGCGCCCGTATTCAAAGATCTGGATGGAGACCGGGGAGAACCGGGATCAGGTTTGACCGACCCTTCCCGCACACGTCCCGCTCGCACCGCTCCCACCACCCGCGCTGGGCCGAGCCCCTCTTGCAGGCTGTCCCCGTTTAGGGGGTGCAGGGGGAGCCCGGCCGTGCCTCCGCTACCTCCCACATCAGCGAGTTGTCGTCGTAAGTCTTGATCTCGCTAGTGTTGACCACTTTGCCTTGGAAAGGGCCGAAGCGGACTCCTTTGGGGATGGGGTCCGTGCAGAAGACTCCGAGCTGAGACACGTCCCCGTAGGCCACCCGCAGCACCGAGAGCCCTGCGGGGGACAGGGCGGGCTGAGGGCTGAGCGCGGCTCGGCCGCGGCGGGGGCGCGGGCAGCGCCGGGCCCCTACCTTCGGGCAGCTGCAGCGAGTCCCTGTCGAGCGGCGGGGCGGAGGAGGAGTCCGCGGCACCTGCAGAAGAGGGACCCCTTCTTAGCCCGGCGCCGCAGGGCCGAGGGAGCGGGTCCTGCCGCCCCCGACATCGGCCGCAGCTCGAATTCCCCGCCGGCTCTTCCCCGCCGTGGGCTCGTAACGCGAGAAACCCGCGGCGAAGGGAAGCCCGACGTGCCCTCC